CGTTACATTAAAGCGAGACTTGTCATTGGATGATCATCACGTGAAAGTGAAAATTTGACGGCGATACTGGGGTAGTTTAATTTTTGTAGATTCTACCCGTGATTTCAGCTGTGATTTCCATGATAATCTTGAAAAAAACAATATAACGATAAAGCAAAGAATTTATCACATTTATGAGTGCTTGAAGTGGGATAAATGTAATATTATTACCTAACTCGTTAAAGAATCTACAAGATATAAACTAAACTCTGATTTACGGTTGACAAGTCCAAGCATACTACAAAAACTCCAAATTTAAACATTAAATCCGGATTTTCTACTACTAAAATACCTGGGCTTATTCAAATTAAATGTCAGCAGTAAAAATTTATTTAAATCTAACGTAATAAAGTAGTTTTGGACGAAAGCATTTCCAGTTATCTTCACTCTACAGCATAATTTCACGCGATCCAATAGACGCTATGTGTATTTTGTCTTCTAAGCAAAGCAGGACAGAAGGCAGATTCTTTTTAAATTCTTTGTATGGTGAATATTAACGTTTGTTCAAAGCTAAGAATAACTTTTACAGTGACTTTTTATTAGTGAAACGTTACGTTCTTAAAAATTCTCTAAAAGGTATAAATAAGTTCCCCGATTTACATCTGCCAATCAAACGAAAGTCCTCCTATAAAACGGACACAACATTCACATGCTAATGGAAAAACAATGACCGGCATTATTTCCCGTTACTAAAATGGGAGACGTCTAAAGCGAAGAAGGTTCTTATAATCTATATATACTGTATTTTATTGAATTGACTTTAGGGTTAGGGTCATCTTATATTAGCAAATTGCGGCGATCATCAAAATCCTATAATTTGATTGGTGGTGTGTCACGTGATCGCACTCCGCTTTAGACGACCTTCAAATTTGGTTAATTCTGGTCAAATTTGCAGATCATTTGGCCTGGGGAGATATATAAAATAGTACAAAAACCTTAATGATCTCACTTTCCGACTTTTAATTGACTAAAATAATAAGTTGGAAAATCATGCGAATGGAAAGATGTCTTGGTGCTAAGCTGAGCAGGCATTAAGCTATATTAGTAGAACAGTCTATAGCGGTAGTAAAATTTTTAATAATCTTGAGCAAAATTAATCAATTCCGGCCCAGCCGAAGGGGATTCCGATGCGTTCCGACCCAGAATTTTTATTAGTTGTTTAGCCTTTTAGCCGTTCAACTCTGATAGGAAGTATGATTCTTACTGATTTCTTATTCTAATAATGTTCAAATAATTTATATTAGCAAATATTTATTCGAATATTCGCTGAGTGACTAATATTATTCGAATAAGTATTATTTATTCAAATAGCTGTTGCATACGGATCAGTTAATATTGAACCGGCCAATGACTGGAGTTTCACGAATATTCGAATAAAATTTGCCTACGTATTCGTCAAATAAAAGAATATGATTTTCCATCGTATCACAACATAATTTGTTGCATGGCATGTGATGCTTACAATTAATAATTTTTAACGTATATAAATATCTCGATATCGATATAGGATCATTAAAATTTTGAATTTCTCGTTCAAGTCTGGGGTGTTGCCAATAAATTCATTGCATAAAAGGCTCGTGTGACCGCAGAAGCATGTTCGTGAGTACGAAAAAGAAAAAATTATTTATTCATTTTAAATTCTAACGATATATATATATATATATAATTGTCAATAAGCGAATTTATCTAATTTATGTAAATACTTTTATAGTTATTTTTAAAATTTGAATCAATATCGATATAGAACGCTCTACGGTTATTACGTCAAGTTGGTTTAGCTAGATAAAGAATTTACATTTAATTCACGATTACATATCCTCAAATAATAAAAGACAATTTTATTGGTGATAATTTCTTAATTTATTTGAGACTTTTTAGTGTTAAATTTCTTCGTAACAGAAAATACGATACTTACTATATTTTATATTTCAATCCTTCCTGGCTGGAGACTTTTTCATGTGTAGCTTCAACATCATGACGTAAGAATCTTTTCTGTCTCTACGAAAAAATATCGCAAAAGTCAAAGTTTTAGCAACTTTCAATAACCGTATTCCACTATAAGACTTATCCGAAACATTGCTTCTGATAAACTTAGCAGGTTTGATGTTATCATTACAACTTCATACTAATTAAGATTTACTTGACCACTTTTCCGCATGATCCATTCATCTTACCTCTGCAATTAAACATTATATTTGACCTCTTGTTTCTTTTTTTTGGTTTTTTTGTTTTTTTTTTGCAGAAAGTTCGCCATAAAGTTTGAGTCACATGATATTTGCCACTGCCGCAGTATAATTACCGATATCAAGATTTAATTATTTACCAATAACTAACATAAGAAGAGAATGAAGATTACTTTCTCCTATTATCAGCAACTGACAAATAATAAATAGGTCTTTAATATTAGCAATTATACTGCAGCATTGACATAAATCATCAACCTGAGCTTTGGAACCGCCCCTGGCGAACTCCTCAATTTACAAGACGACACTTTCCTTGATAGTCGACTTATGAGCCCTATAGCAAAAGATGTTGATGGGACTACATAATATATAGTTCATCACGCCTTTTGTTATGAGAACTCCCAACATTGCTTTGTGTTTTCTATACAGTTGAAAAAAAGCTAAAGTTAAATGTCAATAAATGTTCAAAAAGTGTGCCATGCTGACCAATTAGGATTTCTGCCACCAAATGTAACAAGCGTCATCATTTCTATAACTAACTGTCGACAACCTATGTCAATAATTAAAAATAAGACGCCAAGGTCTTGAAGTGACACCATTATGATTGTAATTTATTATTCTATACTGAACGTTAGAAATTGTGAACCTGAACTGAGACGGAGAACTGGTCTTCGATAAGTACCAGTTTCTTTCAGGTCAGACTCAAAACAGAGCAGACTTTGGAACTTTTCAGTGTCAACCTGTCGCGAGCTATAATGGCCCTTAGATTCCCCAACAATAAAAACGCTATCAATTTGCTAAATTGGTATTCACGAACTCAAGAATCAGTTCGTAGAAAGATGGCCGTAGAGGTAGACGTTTGATTGAACATATAAAGAGAGAGATGGAGGATCCTGTTCCAAGTTTGGATACTTATCAATAAAAAAATTCTTGTATGTAAAGAGGGAAATGGAACAGGTTCAATTATCACGAAGCTGATCTTTTTTGTTTTGATTGGCTTTTTTTTTCTTTTGACAATTCGGTTTTTAAACAAAAATATGTACGATTAAACTTATTTAATTAAATTATCTTAATCATGATTTTATTACTACAAGGTAAATTTATATCTCATTCAACCGTTGTTAAACAACTACATACCTGCCTCTATATTCGTTTATTATTTAGTCAACAAAATCTTTAAGTGGGGAGCTTCCCATCTAAGGGTTAGGTCCACTAGTTTTCTTCTTTCTTTGTTTCGATTCGTATTCATGCCAATCCCCACAAATTTCAGGAAGCCTATTATAATATAATAAGATGAAACTTTAAGATTAAAGAATTAACAAGTAAATCACTATTCGTAAAAAAAACGACACTCACTCCCCCGGAGAACATGCTAAGGGTTCTTCGGATGTAAAATAAGCAAAATTCAAGGCCTCTCGGGCAGAGGGTCGTTTAGCAGGATTCACCGATAAAAGAGCTTCAACTAACTCAAGAGCTGCTGAAGATAGAACCCTAAACGATTAAATAATATTATTTAAAAGTCATCTACATATTTGCAAATTCAATCATGGACTACATTATTTTGTTTCCTTGCGCCCATAATAGCTGATTATTCTTTCTATGCATGTTAAACAGGAACATAGAATTTGTGCGATGCATTTCAATTAAAAAATTGGTTCAAGCATATATCAATATTAAATATATCGTTTGACAATTTAATTGAAATGCATCATTAAATTAAATAGCCGAATAATTCTATAAGGAAACCTCTAATTTTAAATACCGATCTAGTTCTTGTTTTAGTAGGATAATCAAACTTACTTCGAGTATATTTCTCTGAATTTGGGCTTCAAAATTTCAGGAAATTGAAGTGCCACATACCATGGCAAGTCTATTATGGATGGCCATTCCTGACATGTTGGCACGCCCATTAATTCAAATATTTTTTCAAGCTGAGAGATTTCATCAGCCCCTGGGAAAAGAGGTCTCCGGGTAATCAGTTCCATCATTATGCATCTACCGTGATTTGAAAATAATTAAAAATTGTTGTAATGAAGTTAAAAAAATAAATAAATAAACATAAAAATGAATAAAAATAAAAATACCGGTAATTACCCAGCACTCCAAAGATCGACTTCCGGTCCGTATTCAGTAGCACCCAAACAAAGTTCCGGAGGACGGTACCATAATGTAATCACACGATTTGTATAATCATGCATTCGGTGAGGTTTAAAATGACGAGCAAGTCCAAAGTCGGCCAATTTAAGTTCTCCACGGTTGTTCAATAATATATTAGATCCTAATTAGTATAATGATACGAAATGATCGTTAATGTATAATATTAAGATAATATTGTGAAATAAAAGAATTATTTATACCTTTGACGTCACGGTGTAAAATCTGATTCTCATGAAGGTGGGCCAAGCCTTCTAACAGCTGCTTCATAAGACATTTTACATGGTGTTGCTCGTATATTATTTGCGGATTAGAAAGAACTCCAGTAAGATCGTGATCCATATATTCAAAGACCATGTATACTACTCCTGGATAAGATATTTAGTTTTACCAGGCAATAAAGATCAAATCGACAAATTAGTTCTCATCTAAGGTGGTTTTTTGAATCTTGGAACATTTTTTACCAACCTTGGTAAACCATTATTTCCTTTAAATGAACTATATGATCATGTCGAAGTCTTTGAAGAAGCTTAATTTCACGTAAAGCAGTAACAGGAAACTTTTTATAAACAGTAAAAAAAAGTTGTAATGTTAATTAAAGCCATGCTATAACTCCAATACGGTATAAACAAAAACCTACCCCTTCCTTTTCTGATTCCATGCGTATTCTCTTGAGCGCCACTATCTCACCAGTGTCACGATTTTTAGCTTTGTATACTTTGCTATAAAACGAGAGTTCAATGATAGTAACAAATCCAATATCACAATTTATTAGACTATTATCTACCAGCCTATTATTGACAGCGAATAAATATATAAACGAACCCATATGTGCCTTCTCCTACTTGGCCTAATTTTTCATATAGTTCAGTTGGTTTAATTTGTAATGGGGTAATATTCACTTGTGCTAATCCAGTTGGAACATTTTGTGCACCTTGCTGTGAAGGAGGTGGAATCACTGGTTGCTGAGTTGGTCTGATCGGTAATGTAGTAGGTTGGGGATGAGGAGGTTGTTGGTATGAATGGTTTGGCGATATTGGTGATCGCAACTGCGATATATGTGGTGGGTGTGTGGTATTTGCATGCGCATGTTGTATTCCAAAATGTGATACATTTGGAGGTTGGGGTGGCGGATGCGGTGGTATCGTATGTTTATTATCTATTGGCTGGTTATACTCGCTACCGTTGATATATGAATATTGACCTGTATAATGTTCGTATGCTTGATGGGGATAATAATTATCTGTTGGATAATGGTGGCCATGCTGATGATGATAATTTGGTGCATGTTGATCCCACGTTTGAATGTGTGGAGGCAATTGCCCTTGAAATGGTGCAGGCTCTTGATAATTATTTTGATCACTATATAGGCCAATTGATGAATGTGTTCCAGGCGCACCTGGCTGACTCAAATGTGAAGATTGCTGCCGTTCATGTTCATGTTGACTTATGTGACCAATATGTCCCCCTTGACTAATCTGTCCTTGGTGACTTATTTGACCGGGAGGACCCTGAGGTATTCCATGAGCGCCTTGAAGACTATGTCCAGGCACACCCGGAGGTCCGAGTTGCCCTGGCAATGATTGTGATGAATGTGGCTGTTGCGAAACTCCTTGTGACAGCAATGCACTATGCGGATGTGAATGCGGTCCGTGTGGACCAGATGACCCAGAAATGTTATTAGTAGCCCAACTACTTTGTTGCACGATACCATTCTGAGGTGGATATTGGTGGTAACGTTCTTGATGCCACGGCGGTTGTCGATCATGTTGTTGATTCAATCGGTTTTGTCTTGGTGGACAGCTGTTTTCACGATACGAACGTGATGACCGGTCATTATACTGCCGTTGACCTTGCCAACTATCCCTGCTTCGGTCACGATGAGAAGAACTTCCATCTCTATAAGATGAACTATCACGATATGACGAGCCATCACGATAAGATCTTCCTTGACGGTCATTATACTGTCTATATCCCCACCCTTCCCTACTTTTATCACGCGGACGTCGGCCATAATAATTATTGTCTCTTCTTCCCCTTCCACTATTGCCAGTGTTACTGCCATTATACCCCAGGTTATTGTTACCAGATTGTTGGCTCCCTCCACTTCCACGACTCCATTGTCGCTGCTGCCTTGCACGGCTTCCTCCCCTGTACCCTCTTTGTGAAGGTACCTCAGTCCTTTGAGAAGGAGCTACAGGTGGGCCATAAGGGTTCTCCGGAGGCCTGAAGTCATCCATGTTAGACATGTTAGATTTGCATTTATAAGGATTAAAACTGTCGTTTTCCAATAATGCTTTGACGAAAAAAACAGTGTCGACTTGTTAATATAAATAACTTTCTTCTTAACAAAATGACGTTCATTGAAATAGATTCCAGATACATACGTACCAACTGTATTTATAGAAAAACGGATGGTTTTTTTACACTAAAAAATCTAAATGCGGTGGCTTTGAGGTAAGGCCTTGGTATCGTTGATCTGTGACACAAATGTTTGTCGTTATATCGATACAAGATTGCTAATACGTCATCGGTCTTTACGCTCGTGTGATAAATTGTTGGTAATAATTTAATTTCTTTACCCTCCTGAACTAGCCTTGTGCTTGAATATTTTGTAATATAAAAATCCCTGCCAGATACGACAAAGTAATAAGAACAAAAGGATAACGGATAAGTAGGCCTAAGTAAAATCAATCTTTGTGCAATTTTTTAGTATAAGGGAGGGTCGGGTATTCTGGCGCACCTAAGAGTGCTAATAGTAAAAATTTTCAGGGAAAGCTTAGTTATTCCT